TCGACGTTTCTCTCTCGTTTCTAGCTCTCTATCTCTCTCCCTGCCTCTGTAAAAAATCAATAAAATATATTTTTAAAAAAATTAAGATGCATTGATGGATGGAGTATTTGATAAGTGATAAAACAAGCATAGTACAATGTTAATGGTTGAATCTTGTAATATAGCTTCAGGGTCGGCAGTGACACATCCACTTCCTGCTGCTGGCAGCCCTATCAAACCTGTTGCTTTCACCTTACTGGTTTGGCTCAGTGGATAGAGCATTGGCCTGCGGACTGAAAGGTCCCAGGTTCGATTCTGGTCAAGGGCATGTACCTTGATTGCAGTCACATCTCCAGTAGGGGGTGTGCAGAAGGCAGCTGATGGATGTTTCTAACTCTCTATCCCTCCCCCTTCCTCTCTGTAAAAAATCAATAAGAATATATATATTTTTAAATAATATTTTTTACAAGTTATTTTTAGGGAACACTGAAAAAAAAGTAGCATGTTCTAATTTATCTACATGAGAACCAATTACTGTATATAGCTTGACAAACGAAAGTAAAATTTTGTCAACTCAACTGTCGTTTTTATTTATATGAATACAATTTTCACTGAATAAAGAATTAATTTATGAAACCCTATAAAACATAATTTATATTGAATGTATAAATGGCCATAACATTAATGAACAGATGTGAATGGATCAGATCTTAGTAATGTGTTTTCAGAGTAAAATGCCAGTTCTGTGTTTAGAACAGCAGCCTTCACAAAAAACTTGCATGTATAGTGGAAGCAAAAGGCGATCCCTGGAAGAGACTGATTTTTTTAATCATATTTTAAAATTTTCCTTTATCTCTGTACATGTTTTATAATGTACAAATAGATCTGTACAATAGTATATGCATATATATATATATATATATATATATATATATATATATATATAATTTAAAAATAATCAAAATTTAGAGTGTATTCTCTAATTTTTCTGATAGGGCTAAGTGAGAAAGTTTAGACTTTCACCAACAAGAACTATCAAATCCCTGGCCTCTGCCACAGTGTTATGCTTAATTCTGGCCTAAAGATGAACACCTAAGCAATTTAAACAAAAGTTTTCAAACTATCGCTAAATGCCACTTTGCCAATCAACTTTTCAAAGAGGTTAGCCACACACAAAAAGTGTGTCAAGTGTTTCAAAGTAGCATTTATTTTTTAAAAGCACATTATGAGGTAGACTTATACTAAAATACTCAGTACATATATTAATAAAAAATTAAAAACCTTAAAATTGTATATAGGTATGTAATTAGATAACAAATTCACCTACAACCATCCATTTGAAAAACTCAAGACAATTCAATTGAAACAAAAACAAAACAAAACAAATAATTCTATTGAAAAGGTGAAAGCCAATTACATGGTTAGAAAGCTTTCCTAATTCTTAAATGGAAAACATTTGATCTTTTAAAAAGTTTGTTGGGAAGGGAGTACTTACGTTTTAATTTAAAATTTTGTAAGTTATTTTATTAAATCATGCACTATGGCCCTAACCAGTTTGGCTCAGTGGATAGAGCGTCAGCCTGCGGACTCAAGGGTCCCAGGTTTGATTCCAGTTAAGGGCATGTACCTTGGTTGTGGGCACATACACAGTAGGGAGTGTGCAGGAAGCAGCTTATTGATGTTTCTCTCTCATCCATGTTTCTAACTCTATCCCTCTCACTCTCTGTAAAAAAAAAAAAAATCAATAAAAAAAATATATATATATATATTTTAAAAATCATGCACTATGGCTAGTTCAGTGAACAAGAAAATATAATTCTTACTAGAAGCCCAGTGTATAAATTTGTGCACCAGTGGAGTCCCTCAGTTTGGCCTGTGAGATTGGGCTGAAACCGGCTCTCTGACATCCCTGGAGGGGCCACAGGCCAGGCTGAGGATCCCCTCTGGTGCACCATCAGGGCCAGGGAGGCACCACAGCAGGGCTCCAGGATGTCTGGCCTCTTACCCAGTCCCAACTGGCCAGACCCCAACAGTAAGCTAAACTTGGAGCATCTGCCCCAGGTGGTCAGTGCACATCATAGCAAACGATTGAGCAGGCTTAGCATACCATTAGCATATTATGCTTTGATTAGTTGGTCAACCGGTTGACCGGACACTTAGCATATTAGGCTTTTATTATATAGGATTATTTTGTTTCCATCATATCAAAATGATAACATCCAAGCCAGGGGAACTACATAACGTATGAGCCCAGTGCACAATAAAAATGTGGGTCCCCTGTTCAAAAAATTAAAAATTTCAAGATGTTTTTAGCCAACCATTAAACCAAGCCTTTTTCAGTGCAGAGCCCTATATGCCTGCAAAGATCACAGGTCCTGCATTGAACTCTGTTTCAGCTGCAGCTATGGAATCTGAAAGCCTTAGTCCCTTAGGTCCCTAGTACTGGACTAAGCATATGGTAGGGATTCAAATGTTTGTTGAATGAAATATTGAGTCTTAAACTTGCAGTATTCCAGATCAATGAGTTTGCATAGTTTTTCTGACCACAGGTATGACTAATGCACACGGGTGTTCACTGTGATAATACATGATGTATTCCTTTAGTGCTGAACAATTCTGGCTTCATGGGAAATTGAGGCCGCATATGGTGAAGGTTCATTTGATTCATTCAACAACCATTAATGAAGCAACTACTCTGTCAGGTCCTGTACAAAAACACAAGAATGAATAAGATAGTCCCTGCCCTCAGGGAGCTTACAGTCTAGCTTAAGAACTACAGCACTTCAGAGCCCAGTGAGAAAACCTCCTGGTGTCTATTGTATAGGGCATTCCAAATTTCCCGAAAATGTGAATCTAAAAGTTACCAGAAAGCACAGTTTGGAAATAGATACAGTGAATTAAAAAAAAAAAAAAATCAAATATTCAATTTTTAAGGTAAAAACCATGAAAAGTGAGGAAGAAACTTAGGAAAGCTGAAGATTCTATTTTAAATACTTTAGACCAGATTTATATTTAACAATTATTTTATTACCTTCAGGTGACATTTTTATTTATAGTGACATTTATTACACATACATATAGGATCTGTGTGTATGTGAGATGTGTTCCTTGGAACTTTTGATAAAACCCATATTACTACCACTAATTCATTTATAACTAAAGAGAGAAGAACACTGGTACATTTGAGACTTTCCTTTTGATAATTATTTCTATTATCATTTGAATGGGAGAAATTCTTAGGAATCATCTTTCGGGTATAAATTTTGGTACAATCTTATTCTGCAATGAGACTAAACTGTGTCTTTGTAACAACATGTGATAATTTAAGCATATATTTTAATAGTTATTTAATGGCATAAAAAATACTATTAAGTCTATCTGAATTTGATTTTCATTGTTTCCCCCCAATATTCTTTTTCTTAGAAGCATGAAAGACCCCTGTGCAAATACAGAGCCTTTGTTGTTGCTTTGCTATTCTTTGGTACATTGCTGTTTGTTCCTTAAATTAGCAACACCCTTTGCTTGAAGTATTATACTTGGTGGCAACTAAAAACAAAACACTAGGCTAGGCCTTTACTGGAAACTTATCCAGAAGGTGATTGTGAACCTGTCCGAAAGTTGGTAAACAACCAAAAGAGCCATCTCAAAGACTGTGTACCCAGAGCTTGTCCAGATCTTCAGACCTAAGCAGGCTTGGTTATCTCATGTCCCAGCTCATAACATGAACACAGCACATTAGAAGGAAGTAGGGACTCTCTTAGAGGCAGACATATTGATAGTGTGGAAGGAGACAGAATAAACTGCTTAGCCAGATATAAAACATTTTTAAATTAAAAACAAAACACCAGCAATCTGAGGCAAACGATTCCATAAACCTCAGGGCTGAGAGAATCACTTTATAATAATTGATATTAACTCATATTTGTTATAGCCCTTTACATTTTATGAATTATTTTAAATACATCAGAGCTCATTGAATATATGTAATGATACATGAATATAACTTTTACTTTTCATCATGAAAAAGTGAATTATACTGAGCATGCTGTTTAAGAAGGCAGGGAGGTATACTAACATATTTGAAAGACATCAAAAAGAATTACAAGTTTTAAGTTTTGGCACTTAAGAGATATGCATTAGTTATCCAACAATTCATATATATGCTTTATGACCAACACAGTTTATTACTTAATGAAATTTCATAGCTCTCTGTCACTGCTGGTTGCTAAATGGGGATGATTGTCATTAGTAAGTTATCAGAATATTTCTCTTACTAAACACAAGCTTAGCAGGTATTTATGGATGCCAATACCATATATTCTGACTAATTGGGAAACATTAGGCTTCTAAAAGATTCTCAGAATATTTTTCCTACACTGCACTTTCTAGCAAACAAAACTTTAATACAATAGTATAATGGGATCTTGGTTCTAGACAGAAATGGGGAACGTGCGATCTACCTTTTCCTTGTTTTTTTCTAAAATTTTTGGTATAGCTTCTTCTCAAGATGTAACAAGCAGAAATGACAAAATATACATGTTCTTTGGGATTCTGAGAAAAATGATCACACACATTTTCAAAAGATTAAAATAGAGATCGTATCTGCTTTAGCCACTTCATTTTCACAATTGAAAATAAGGAACTACTGGGCATTTGATGTTCCTAAACTCATTCAACATAGCATTGCCATAAAGATACTGTTCTGCAGAAAGCTTTTTAAAACCAAAGTATAGTTTATACTACACTTCCCAATAATTATACTATGTAATTATACCAATTATCATGAATAAAAATGACTAAATAAAATTTAGAGTAAAAAACACACTGGATTTTACACTGTAAGTGAAACTGGACCTATTAATTATAAGATGTAATTTCCTCTAATAGTATACCATTCCTGATGACTTTTAATTCCTTAATATCCCTGGTGACTTTTTTATCATGACCATACCTCACAGAGAATGTTCTCTTAGCTGGCTGTTAATTTTAATCTGTGTGGCTCTATTTATTTATTTTTTAACAAGGCTATTTATCCTCTATTTTTCTGGTTACATGTCCTGCTTGAGGTTTTTTAGTTAGGAATGGACTGTGTGTATGCTCTGCAGTTTTAGTATTAATTCTAATGGAAACTGTTAATCTTGTAAGTGTTCTTTTACATAGTGCAGAAGGTAAGCCAGCTCGGTAATAAAGAACTTCAGAGGATGCAAAACAAGTAAATTAACTGGCCAGTATACCATCCTTTACAAACCAAAGGGCACAGTGGTAGGGTAATAAGCACAGGCTTTGGACTAAAACAGACCAGGGTTTGAATCCCAGTAATGCCACTTAGCTCTGTGGATTAAGGCAAATCACTTACATTTTCTGACCCTCCAATTCCTCCAAGTAAATCTGTACTTATCCACCTACCTTGTAAGGTTTCTGTGAGGATTAGTAGTAAAGGATGTCCATTATTTGACATGTGACAGATGCCCTATAGTGGCTAAACAATCATGACTGAGGTTTAGAGCTGGGCAATGTGTGTGCCCATTATCTGACATGGAACTCTCTCCAAAGGGGATGCCATTTATGGAACCTTCTTTTGATTATCAATACAGTCATACTTAGTAGCTTATTTTTAATGTTAACATTTAAGTGTTTTTGCCTCAAAAACTTCCTTTTAAATGTTTTTTTTAAGTTTATGTTAAACCTGTGTTTCCACTGTACTTTGTCATAATTTTTTTGATGACTAAAAAATTTCCAAATTTTAAACATCCATGGTAAATTGATCTAATTTTAAGAATCTGTCCTGGAGCCAATATTGTTCCAAGTGAGGTATAACCTTTATACATGTGAGAATGGCTGTCCGGTTGGTCCTAGTTTCTCCCCCCCCTCCCCCCCAAAAAAAGAAAGTCATTTTCATTCATGTATTTGGGTTGCTCAGACATCTCTATAAGTTGTAAAATACTTTTCTTCATACGGCTGGAATTCTCAGCATCTACTCCCATGCCTTCCTTTTCCGATGTCTTAGCCAGTTGAAGGGTATTCACAATAATACAAATTAAAGACAAAATATAGTGTTCATAGTCATTGTTTTAACAGACAGCATCATACAGTAGAAATTGCCCTGAGCAAGGAATTAGGAGACTTGAATTTGAGTCCTGGCCCTGCCACTAATGTTTTCGGATAACCTTGGGCAAGTCATTTCTCTCATTCCTTAAAAAATGAAATGGATTCCATTTTATGTTATTTTCTACCTCTAAAATTGCTTTCATTTACTCATTATTAAAAAATAATCAAAACACCTTCTGGGAGTTGTGTTAAGCACCTGATGGGTACAAAAGTATGTACTGATGTTGAAGGTAGTGTTTTATAAACAGGGCCATCTGAATAAAGGTTAGTGTTCCTGTTAAAATACAGATTCCCGTCTTCTCCCTGGCAGAATCAGAATCTCCTAAGGTAAGGGCATTTTCTGTATTTTTCACAAGCTCCTCAACGATTATAATGTACCCCAGTGTTTGAGAGCAACTGGCCCAAGAGAATGTGATCAAGAGGGAAGAAGCCAGCATGTGACTTAAGTCACTCTAGCAAACCCCTACCAAACCACGCCGAGTGGAGGAGACTAGAGGAAAGCCCCTTCTCCACCTACGCCCGGCTATCTGCTTTTTACCTGCTGTGCTCCATAACAAAACACAGCGAAAGGTCTCCACATTAGCTCGGTCTTGCCATCCAAGCCACTGACTACCACATTTATGCCAACAGCTTGAAGAAGACTGCCATTCTCTTCTCACTAATGCTAAGAGTTGACCTTGTGCCATTTGGCTCATGAAAGAAATATGAGTACCACCCCAATACTATAACATGTCATCCTGTGTGATTCAAATAATCTGGCAGAGAAAACAGAATATCCGAGCCACATTGTTCTCATCACTCTGTGGTCAGGTCGTGCACTAATCCAATAAATAAATACTCTTCTAAACAACAGAAACAACCAAAGCCCATTCCTTCTCCCCTCTTCCTCCCTAATGCTGTTGACAGGAACAAAATACCAAGTAAGGACACATGCTAGAGATTTTAAAATTCATACAAGTAAAGTAAATTACAAAGAGAGGTGATAATATTTTTTCTAGAATGTCACAACAGAACCCTCTCATGGTGAAAAATATGTATAATTTTAACAGGAAGCTTAAAAGACATTATCTGTGCTCATTATTGAGAAACATAACAGCAACTTTAAAAGGCCAAGTATACTGGTAAGGGAAGATGAAATTTCTTTTTCAACTACCAGTATGCCAACATCAAATGTCTGGGTTTAATTCTAGTGTCACAGATTTCTTCTAACCCAACCAAAACTCCTGCCAAATGTCCACAAAATTCACACCAAAATCAAAAAAGAAAAAAAAAATTCAACAAGAGGTAACATGCAAAATAACCAGAATACCTGGGGTTCAGTGGCACAGATCAGCAGGAGCTGAGGAATGCTGCAAAAGGTGCTGCTGCATAGAGTCTAACTTGGCAATGCCCCTATGATGCTGGACGACCAGGTCCTCAGGTCACAGGTGTGTTCATGGACCCATAAGAATCAGGTCTTGACCCAAACTTTTAACATCTTCTAAAAAGAAAATACTTCACCTAAATTGAAGCAATTTATATGTCAAACACCAGAAGAGTTGCTTATTTTGTTGAGGGTTGTGCCTAAAACTTTGGCTGATACAAAGAAACCCGTCCACTAAGGCACCCTGAGGCAATCTGACAATGTGTTGGGGAGAACTTTGTCGTCAGCACAACATCATTATGAGAGTACAGAGAACGGATCACCCGCAGGGGACTGGCTTCTTTGGGCAAACAGTCAATAAGTTCACTGCACTGTTTGTCAAATCCCAACAATCGAATCCCATAGCCATGTGGGGAAGAAACCATCCGCCCGTCAGGGCTGAAGCAAAGTTCTTTGATATAACCCCTGCCTACATTGGCTTCTTCAATGTAATGGGTCAGGCGGAGAGAACAGCGAGGGGAGACAGGTCGTACCGGAGCTCCTTCTTGGAATTCATAGACACAAGTCCACTAGGGAGAGAAAAGAGGGACAAACCAAAGTCACAGGACCTCATATAGTGCTACAGATATTCTTTAAAAAAAACAAACACCCCCCTCCCCCCCCCCAAAAAAAAAACCAGAATGCTAAAGCCACAGAATTGTAAGAAATCATTTAGATGAATGCTACCCTTCTAGCAATTAATGAACTTGTAGCTCTGTACCCTCTTATCTTCCTTCAAAAGCTAGGGTTATTCTGCACTATGATGCTTTAGTCTTTTATTCAGAGGCCAGTGTGACTTCTGTAGTAGTAATCCCTTTACTGAAAATAACAATTTTGATATTTAAAAATTCAAGGGTTAAGACTGTCAAGCCCTAGAATACCTCCCCTACACATTTCAGTGGCTCTCTTCTCTCCTTTTCCCAGTTGCAGATTCTAGAGCTAGAGAGATTCTTAAAGGACTCCTGCTTTTCTTTTCTTTTTTAAATGTATTTTTTACAGAGAAGGGAGGAGTTAGAAACATCGATGAAACATCAATATGTGCCTCCTGCACACCCCCTACTGGGGATGTGCCCGCAACCAAGGTACATGCCCTTGACTGGAATGGAACCTGGGACCCTTCAGTCCGCAGGCCGACGCTCTATCCATTGAGCCAAACCGGTTAGGGCAGTGGTTGGCAAACTCATTAGTCAACAGAGCCAAATATCAACAGTACAACGATGGAAATTTCTTTTGAGAGCCACATTTTTTAAACTTAAACTTCTTCTAATGCCACTTCTTCAAAATAAGACTCGCCCAGGCCATGGTATTTTGTGGAAGAGCCACACTCAAGGGGCCAAAGAGCCACTTGTGGCTTGCGAGCCGCAGTGTATCAACCACTGGGTCAGGGCAAGGATTCCTGCTTTTCAGAGTGCTGATAATCATGAGGTCATGTAAGACCTTTTCCCCTAGTCTCAGTTTAGTTCCTTTTCCAGTTTCCCCTGTTTTTTAAAAAGATAAAATTATTATACTCAACTGGCTGAGCAAAACCTCACGTTTAGCCAACCTAGCTGAAACATTTCAGTCTTATGTTTACTATTTAAAGAGCTTTTTATGAGAGATAAAGGAGGAAAGAATTTAAAAGGGCACAATCTGAGCTAATCACTGCTTTAAAGTACTCCCAGCTTGCCACCCCCGTCCAGAGGGTTCAAGCACTCAGGCATTTTATGAGTTGGCCCTGCTGAAGGTGGAGTCCTGTGCCCGTACCTCCTGATCGTCAGTGTTGCTTGAGCACCGAAGAAGAGTGGCCCAGCCTTTCGGGTGCAGCTGTAAAGATGTGATGCAGTTTCCACGGTCTCTCTCACCAGGAACTTTAGGGGTTAAGACTTCAAGGCTATTTCGTGGAGAAACTCCTGAGATACAAGAAAATTAGAACGTTGGAGTTGTATTATTGAAGAACTAAGGTAGCTTTTCAAAACTTGATTTTTGGGGGCGTGAATACACAATACAATATACAGATGATGTATTATAGAATTGTACACCTAAAGCCTATGTAATTTTATTAACCAATTCAATAAAAAAGTTAATATTTTAAAAAAATAAGTATTTCTTAAAAAGATTTGATTTCTAGCAGCACAATCTACAATAGCTAGGATTTGGAAACAGCCTAGGTGCCCGTCAGCAGATGATTGGATCAAAAAACTATGGTATATCTACACAATGGAATACTATGCTGCCATAAAAAAGGAATTCTCATCATTTGCATAAACCTGGATGGAATTGGAGAAAATTATGCTGAGTGAAATAAGCCAGTCAATGAAAGAGAAACACCACATGATCTCACTCATTTATGATAACAAGGAACATTATAAACTGATGAACCAAAAGATATAGAGACAGTAAAGCAACAAGCAGACTGTCAAATTACAGCAGTGAGGGGAGGGAGATCTGGGGGAAATAAGAGATGAACCGAAGGACTTGTATACATACATATAAGTACAACCAATGGACACAAAACTCTGGGGAGGGTGTGACAATGGTAAAATATGTACACAGATAATAATTTAATAAAAAAAAAAAAGATTTGGTTTCTATAAAAAAGCTTTGATTTCTGTCAGTCAGCAACTATGCCTTCATTCCTTTGTCTGCATTATGCTACCACATGTAAAAAACAAAACAAAACCCACAGTGCCCTCACTGTACGGAGCTGTGTCTTTGGGGTGAGGATAGGGGGGAAGGGTCTGATTAGAACTAACGAATCCAAGTTCCTATAACAAGAATCACCAGTGACCTAAACCTAATGATTAGTCATAAAACTGACTAGAGGTCCTTTTGATTTGGATTATATCCTTTTTTTTTTTTTTTTAAATATATTTTACTGATTTTTTACAGAGAAGGAGAGAGAGAGATATAGAGCTAGAAACGTCGATGAGAGAGAAACATTGACCAGCTGCCTCCTGCAACACCCCCTACTGGGGACGTGCCGGCAACCAAGGTATTATACATGCCCTTGACTGGAATGGAACCTGGAACCTTTCAGTCCCCAGGCCAATGCTCTTATCAAACCGGTTTCGGCCCCAAATGCAACTTTTCATAGCATAGAACTGCTATGAAGTTTTGTTTTGGTATTTACCAAAGTAACAAGCAAGCTTGTGAACTATTCTTCTTAAATTAAATTGCACTTTTCTCATGGATGGTTTAGTTAATCAATAAATATTTTTTTCAATGGTTATTAAGAGCCTTCGATTGGCCTGGCTGGCATGGTTGAGCATCAACCTATGAACCAGGTCAGTGTGTGATTCCTGGTCAGGGCACATGCCAGGCCAGGTTCAATCCCCAGAGGGGTTTGCAGGAGCAGCCAATCAGTGACTCTCTCATCATTGTTGTTTCTCTCTCCCTCGCCCTTCCTCTCTGAAATCAATTAAAAAAAAAAAAAAAAAAAAGCCTTGGCTTGTTTCCCATAGCCAAGAAGGAGAACAGGCAGCACCTATAAAAGAGGTTTCTGCTACAAATAAAAGAAGAACTGTTATACATCTGGGCATAAATCTCTAAATTTAAGGGGAAGAGTTTTTAACCTTACAGTGAAACATCACAGTCTTCAACATCCAGAAGAAAGTGGATAAAGCTATAGGTTAGGTTAGGAAGGGTGCTCAAACCATTCTACTCACATAAGTAATCATGCAAAACAATTAAGTATGAATTTATCAAGCACTTATAGGGTGAGGCCTCCTAGGGGAAACACAAATTACAAATCTAATGTATAATCCTTTCCAAAAATAGCTAGATAGGAAACATGCTGATCAGCAAAAGTTAACCCTAAATTACAAAAATCTGTATCTGACTACCAATCTACAAAGAGGACAAACAAAAAGTTCTATAAGAGTTTAGATGTGAATTAGTTTGGAGAGGGACGGTACATGAAATTTGCATTGGTAGAAAGCATTTCAATTAGAAAGTGGAAGGGATCAGCTAAGCAGCTAGTTCTGCCAGACTGGCTGCGGGAAAACGGGCAAAAGCACAATGGGGCCAGATTGGGGCTCGCTTTATCCCACCAGCCCTCTGAGTCTGTCATGCATTGCTCAGATAAGGAAATGGCAGAGTAAGAAAGTCTACTGGGCTGAAAACAGATGCCATTCACAAGCACCTGGTAAACATATCTTATATTTATACAGCACTGTTACCTGCATAATTTCATTTAATTTCCATAGTAAACTTGATTGGTATATTTCCCAACCATTTCCTCTCCAAACTACACAAAGCCAGGTCTAGGAAATAAAATCAAAGCTTAAACTCCAACTACAGGCCGAAACGGGTTTGGCTCAGCAGTAGAGCGTCGGTCTGCGGACTGAAAGGTCCCAGGTTCGATTCCAGTCAAGGCCATGTACCTGGGTTGCGGGCACATCTCCAGTAGGGGGTGTGCAAGAGGCAGCTGGTCAATGTTTCTCTCTCATTGACGTTTCTAGCTCTCTATCTCTCTCCCTTCCTCTCTGTAAAAAAATCAATAAAATATAATTAAAAAAAACAAAAACAAAAACAAAAAAACTCCAACTACAATTTAAGCCCAAGATTCTCAAACCCAGAGGCTCTGTTTTTTTAAAAGGATAACCAAGGGGCAAGGAACAGCCTCATCTTTATTGGCTAATTTTATGGAATAAAGTAACCAAAGAAAGCTGTTTGGCAGAATCACTGTTTGCAGGATTATAAAATCCAACTTTTAACCTACCTTCTCTTTGCGAGGCTCGTGACATATGTTTCTCAGAAGATGAATTAGAATCACTATGATGACAAGGTGAACCAGAAACTCTAGGACCAGATGAACTTGATGAAGTAGTCAGATCTTAAAAATACAAAAAGTTCTGACAATACACCTAGCAAAACTCTGGTGATATCTTTTAACTTTTTAATCATCTACTTGAACCATGCTATTAAAATCGATCTGAAATATGGCAAGTACATATCCACTTAAAACTGGCTTATTATAATTAAGATTAAGATATGATAGCTCTCTAAAGTGTTCTATCTAAGGCCTCTTCCCTTTCTAAAATCTTCTATACCAATGACTAGCTTAAGTGAAATATAAATGAAAAACAAAATAAACACAGGAGCATCACTGTTTCTGCATCATTTATGTAATGAAATAGAATAAAAAATATTAGTAAGAGTGAAAACTGAGCTGTTTATCCCATTGTTTAATGTTAGAATAGGTTCCAAACAACAGGCTCATTACCAAGAACATGAACAGATCTTTCTCAAAGCATGCCAAAAACTTCTATTATCATTCTTGAAATTATGTAAATACTATATTTGAAATACAATACGAATTTTACATTGAAATAAAATGAGTATCAGATAGCTGAGTTTGATGTAGTACTCTAAAGAGCAATCTACAACATCACACGTTTCTAGTGGCCCACACTTCTGTGGGAGCTTCTTCTTAAATTAGTTAGTTCCCTTTGATGTTATTAAGTATCAGAATTATCCTTAGAACTCAGAAAACCTAGTTTTTTTAATTACAAAATGCCAACTAGGCCTTTAAATCACTGCTTCTCAGAAAGCCAAAGTTGATTATTAATGTTTAACCAGAAAAAAGAAATCTGAATCCAAAAGGATTATATCCCTTGCTTGCAAATAAATTGGTAAAACCTAACTTTCTACTTTTAGCAATTGGGCAGTTGCAGTACAATGAGAACTACACATTCCCAAAGAAATGGCCCTGTGCACACAGGAGAAAGAATCTAACCATTTGAAGCTAATTTTTTAATGGCATTTTATGAACATTATGTGTTCCAAGTGGGTATGTTCCCAGATCAGCCCTCTTTTTTCCAAAGGTAGATGAAAGGTAGTTTCTATCACATAATGTGGATAAATGATAGTGCCCAGATTTTTCTGAGCCCCAGATGCACTTACGCCCAATGAAGTCAGCAATAGAAGGAACAGGACTTCAGCAAGAGAATGTTTAGACGTCATTAGGTAAGATGCCCTGGCTACCTGTGTCTGAGCATTTGGAAGTCGAGAATACACTAAAGAATTAAAACTAAAATTCCATATTGACTATAACTTAAAAGCTCTATTGGGTTCCAGAAGAACTTAAAAAAATTTGATACTACCTCAGACCATCATTAATTTTTGAGATAGTGATGACTTAGAAATACTGATGAAAGGTTTTCTGGCTAGTATAATGCTATGTCAGAGATACATATAGATCATTATCTTTCCATGAGGAAAAGCTCTCACTGACCTTCCAAAGAATGTCTTTTAATTTCTTCCCTTCTTCCTGCTAACATTCTCAGAATGGAAACATAACATTCCTATGTCTGAGATTCTTTGGAAAATTCTTCGGGGGAGGGGGAGGGGGAAGCTTACCTGAACTTGATGTAGTTCTTCTTGCTCTCAAAATGGGATAGCTGCCTACTTCTAAAGACTTGGTTAAGTCAAGATCATGCAAAATCAAGAGATACCCAGAGGATGTTGAGATCAACATTTTGGAACAATCTGGTGTTAATCTCATTCGCATAAGAAAACGTGTGTGGAAAAATTTCTTATGTGGACACCCATCTTCTGTACACCTATAGAAGAAATCAAACCAACAAAACCTAGTTATCATAAACATAAGGATTTGGTGAAAGTCATGTTTTTGTCCTTCAAACTAGAATTTACAGTCAATCTACAGTACACGATTAGACTTACACATGATAATTCTCTTGCTCACCATTCACTCTTTCATCTCCAATTTTCCTTCTTAGATTATTCTTTCCATATGTGTGTATACACACACACAAACACACACACACACACACACACACACACACACACACAGCATAATATGCTAATTAGATGGGACAGCTGAATGACCAGAGCTACAAGGGTCAAGGCAGCAGCCACAGCAGCTGCAAGGGCCTAGCCCCTTGCACAATTTCATGCATCGGGCCTCTAAAATATATATATATATATTTAAAGACTTTGTTGAAGTAAACTCACTTTTTATTATTCTGAAAATCTTTATTTTAATCTTTTTTAAAATATATATATTTTATTGATTTTTTACACAGAGGAAGGAAGAGGGATAGAGAGCTAGAAATATCAATGAGAAAGAAACATCAACCAGCTGCCTCCTGCACACCCCCTACTGGGGATGTGCCTGCAACCAAGGTATGTGCCCTTGACTGGAATCCAACCTGGGACCCTTGAGTCCGCAGGCTGACTCTGAGTCTACCCACTGAGCCAAACTGGTTTTGGCTTACTCTTCTTTTTGATTAAAAATTTAGCAGAGGGGGTAGGGGAGGCAGGGGGAAGGTCAATGGGGAAAAGAAAGGAGACATATGTACTACTATTTGTAATACTTTAAACAACAGAATAAAATTTAAGCCCTAACTGGTCTGACTTACTCCATAGTTTAGGACATGCTCATTTTTGTACATGTTTTAAGTTTGCTTCAGATGATGTATTGCAGAATTATAAAACATGCCTAATGGATCAAGCTTATTAATAAGATTGAAATATTCTTTAATTCTTACTAATATTTGATCTATTAGTAAATGAAAGAATGGTGTTATTTTCCACTAAGTTGAGAATTCTGACTTTTTTCTTATAATTCAGTTTGATTTTGCTTTTTATAGTTTGAGGCTATGTTATTAGGTATATACAGAATAAGAAGTGAAATAAATCTTTTCATATAGTACCTTTTTATCACTAATAATGCCTTATGCCTTAAACTCTATTTTGTCTATTAATGTAGATATAACTTTTTTTCCCCTCTTATTTGTATTTGCCTATTATTTTTTCCCATCATTTTCTGTGCTTGTCTGGTTTCCAAGCATTCTGTTTGGTTTGGATAGGTCCCTTATAAAGAACAAATAATTGTGTTTTGTTTTATAATCCAATCTATTATTATTTTTTAATGACTTGTCCATAAACATTTATTGTGATTATATATATATGTGTGTGTGTGTGTGTGTGTGTGTGTGTATATATATATATATATATATATATATATATATATATATATAAAATCTGCCTACCATATTTTTATGCTTAATTTTTCAAATACAGTATGTAAAATATATTTTCCACATATATTTCTATCTTTCAATGTGGCTTATGTTTTCTTACTGTATCAAAATTTTAATTATTATTTTGTCATGTCAATTTTTCCCCTTATAGTTTTACCTTTACTGATAAGGCATTTTAATGTGTTCCTCCCATGATAGGAATTATATGATTGCATTGAGAAACATTGAAGTGAGATGAAATATCATCAGTTGCCTCCCAAACATGACCTAACCAGAGATCAAACCTGAAACCTAGGTAGTATGTGCTCTAGCCAGGAATCCAACCTGCAATCTTTTAGTGTACAGGTCAGCAATCCAAACAACTGGGCCACCTGGCCAGGGCTACCTGTTTTTTTTTTAAATGATTTTCCCCATCTTTTCTACCTCTATTGAATTGAGATCATATTTTTTTTAAAATATATTTTATTGATTTATTCACAGAGAGGAAGAGAGAGGGATAGACAGTTAGAAACATCGATGAGAGAGAATCATCGATCAGCTGTCTCTTGCACGCCCCCTACTGGGGATGTGCCCACAACCAGGTACATGCCCTTGACCGGAATCGAACCTTGGACCTTTCAGTCCGCAGGTCGACGCTCTATCCACTGAGCCAAACTGGTCCCGGCTTAATTGATCATATTTTATTAACTTTTATCCTTCTACTAATTTGGAAGTTATCATTTATATTCTTATTCAAATTTTATTTCTAAATTAAAAAAAAAAATTTAACAGGTTTCTCTGTCTTAGTTTAAAGATAATCAGTATGGCCCTAGTTGGTTTGGCTCATGGATAAAGCTTTGCGCTGTGGACTGAAGGGTCCTGGGTTGATTCTGGTCAAGGGCACATGCCCAGGTTATGGGCTCGAACCCCCCAATAGGGAGCATGCAGGAAGCAACCAATTAATGATTCTCTCTGATCATTGTTGTTTCTATCTCTCTACCTCTCCCTTCCTCTCTGAAACCAATAAAAAAATAAAAATAAAAATCTTAAAAAAATAAAGATAATCAATATATAGCTCTATCCCCTACTCAAACAACATGCATAGCTAGAAATCTTTAAGAATATCCCTTTTCTTTTTACATATAACCTTTGAAAGAATATTTCAGAAATGATCCTGATGTACTACTATATTGTTATTTACCATAGCTAGCAACAGATATGTTTAATTATTTCTCAAATCTCAACTCTTTAATCAATTTCTCTGTAAGGAGACATTTTATTAGTGTTCAAAACAGAGGCATCACTGACATTTTAGGTGATATAATTGGTCCATTATGCAAACTGTCCCATGTACTACAGAATGTTTAGAAGCTCTTATCCCTGGTGACTAACTGCCAGTACAAATCCTCTTTTCTTCCATAGTGACACCTAAAATTGTACCACACATTATTTCCAAACATTCTGCTAGGGATCAGTACCACCCCAATTGAGAGACTAACTGCTCTTTAAATGACGAAAGCACAGTGCACAAATGGCCAAGTAAAAACAGATTTAGAATAGGACAGCCTTAGCTGGTTTGGCCCAGCGGATAGAATATCTGCCTGCAGACCAAAGGGCAGGCTCGATTCCGGTCAAGGCTATGTACCTCAGTTGCAGTCTCCTCCCTGATCTGGACCCTGGTCAGGGCGTGTGCAGGAGGCAACTAATCAATGTGTCTCTCTCATATCGATGTTTCTTTTTGTCCTTCCCTCTCTCTTCCAGTTGCTCTAAAAGTCAATGGAAAAATATCCTCGGGTAAGGATTAAAAAAAAAAAGTGGGGGAAAAATAGAATTGAAAACAAAAGAGTGAAAAACATTTCAGTTCAGGAAACTTATCTTATAAACAAATTTTTCATCATTAACTATGCTACTTGGACTTGTTTCCATAGAATTTCTCCAATTTTTTTAGATGCAATATATGACTAAGTGCAAGCAATGAAAGATAGAATCATTTTTTGATTGTTTTTTTCCACACAAAACCAGTTTCTTTCTCCTAAAGATATAAAAGCTGAGACAGAACACTGAATGTTTATCATCTTAAAAAAAATCCTAACATGATCTATTCACAAACCTGTTAGTGTCCCAAATAATGACATTTCCATCAAATCCTGATGTTACTAAGAGTCTTGTATTAGTGTCATATTCGATGTTCTTCACCCAGCTAGTGTGACCATGTAAAGTGCATACTTTGTTGTTCAATTTTCTCAGATCCCATAGTGCTATCGTAGTGTCATCAGAGCAGGTAGCAAACAGCCGATTATCAAGAAATCTACAAAGCAGAAAAGAAAAACTGGTTTATTTAATCTCTTATTTAAGAAATCTTGAGAAACCATATTACCTAATCAAGAATACAAACAAAAAAGGACTACAAACTTACTGTATAAGCCCAATGATTCTGATATACAAATAATAAATATATTGTAATTCATATAATCACAGAGAAAGGAACTGATTTAATGAGGGCCATATTGCAATTTTATCCATTGGCTTTACAATATTGACTTTTATTTGGAAATGAAAATAGGAATAGATGCTTGGAATATAGTTGTAAAGAGAAGAAAAAAACTTTAAAATCCGTATAGGAAACGCAAATGCTGAGAAACAATTTAATAGGAGACAGAAGAGATTTTGAAGACAATTTCCAAGGAAGACATGTTAAACACAAAGGGTTAAAATTATGAGAAACTTTTACTCTGCTACAAGTAACATCTCTTTCTTTTTAGAACACATGTACATGCAAAAATTGCTATTAAAATGCCATAATTTTCATTTATTAATTCAAAGGCATTCTCTAAATAAGCTCACCAAGCACCATTTTATTAGGGCCAGTCAAGATTACAAGATAGAGAATTAAAATACTCTTTTTAATTCAACCTTTTAATTACTTCACACTAATTTTTTAATGCTTAGTGAGAATATTTTTAAAAAATACTTAAGAAATAACAAACATGCCAATCACACTTGAATTTCTGTCTAATTCAACATCGGGATGCTTTCTCTAACATACGCTTTTTGTTGTTGTTGTTAAAAAATATATTTTATTGATTTTTCACAGAGAGGAAGAGAGAAGGATAGTCAGAAACATCAATGGGGGAGAAACATCAATCACCTGCCTCCTGCACACCTCCCACTGGGGATATGCCCACAACCAAGGTACGTGCCCTTGACTAAAATCGAACCTGGTACCCCTCAGTTCGCAGGCCGATACTCCATCCACTAAGCCAAACCAGTCAAGGCTAACATATGCTTTTTCAGATAACTTCCTAAACTCTCAAAAAAGATATAAATTCTGGAGCTTCTTTCAAGATAAAATTACATATAATTATTTTCTATCAGAAATCGACCTCAATATCCACAAACACCACAATGACCTTCCTGAAACTAACATGGTTTTAAAATTTCAGGCCTTTGTTTAGTACTTTAGACTGTTCTGCTACCCGGAACTACCTCCTCCTACCCCTTCACCTGGCTAACATTTGTTTTCTTGTTACTATTCAGCTATCATCCCCTCCATGAAGCCTTCCCTCTCCATCCAGCCTGGGGGAGATCTGTGGATCTTCTAAGCATTCTACCCTTCCATTACAAAGCTTAATATTACAATGTACTGCCATGCTGTCTGCTTGAAGGGAGGGAGAACCTGTCGGCATGATTCATGGTTAGATCTGCAGGACCTAACACACCTGTGCCAGGCACATAATAAACACTCACACAAATATTTATTAAATAGATGAATGAGATAGGCGTTAATTTCCTGGTGGAAAAGACACTATAAATACATGTAAATAATTATACAAGATTGCCGGGACTGGTTTGGCTCAATGGATGGAGCGTCGGCTTGGGGACTGAAGGGTCCCGGGTTCGATTCCGGTCAAGGGCATGTACCTTGGTTGCGGGCATATCCCCGGTGGGGGGTGTGCAGGAGGCAGCTGATCGATGACTCTCTCTCGTCGATGTTTCTAACTCTCTATCTCTCCCTTCCTCTCTGTAAAAAATCAATAAAATATATTTAAAAAAAATAAAAAATAATTATACAAGATAATTGTGTGGAATTAGCAGAGAAAACAAAGTGGTTAGGAAAGACTTCATGGTGGTGTCATTTGAACTGACTTGAAAAGATGAACAGGAACTCCTTATAGAAGCATGTGAGGATGATGTACTCTGAGAGACTTTTAGGAGTGCTGTGTATGAAGAAGTAAAGACAAATAGAGAATATATCATGGATTTATTCTATAACGATTCCCAATAATTATTTAATTATAAATACATGCCCATTGAAAATATTTTTTAATGGAGAAAAAAAATCCAGCACCAAAAATATCTGCTGTTCCTGTATTTCAAACCTAATATCTCATAAATATTTTGCTACCTTATTAAAGTTTTATTGACAAAATCATTTTTAATGGCTGAATAACATTCACCGTATGAATAAACCATAATCTTTTTTCTTTTTAAAACTAAAATGCAATTACTGGATGTTTAGATTGTTTGCAATATTTTACTATTATAAAATACTATGATGGCCCGGCCAGCGAGACTCAGTGGTTGAATGTTGACCTATGAACCAGGAGGTTATGGTTTGATTCCCAATCAGGGCACATGCCCAGGTTGTGGGCTTGATCCCCAGAGTGGGGCATGCATGAGGCAGCCAATCAACAATTCTCTCTCATCATTGATGTGTCTCTCTCTGTCTCCCTCTCTCCCTTCCTTTGTGAAATCAATAACAAAATGTATTTTTTAAAAACCACACTATGACAAATCTTCTAACAGCCAAATATTAGCCACATCCTTAGTTATTTTTCTAAATACATTTCCAGAAAAACTTTACTGCTAAGGAAAAAGGGATATTTTAAAATGTAAGGCTTTTGATACATATAGTCAAATTATCCCCGAAAGAACATACCAATATGTAGTTCCACCAGCAGTGAGGAGAGTCCTTTTCTCCAAACCCTGGCCACACAGATATTTTTAAATTCTGCTTAGTGCTGGAAAAAAAAATCTTCAAAAAGATTGATTTCAGAGAAAGGGGGAGAAAGAGAAAAAAACATCAACAATGAGAGTCATTGAACAGCTGCCTCCTGCACGCCCCCATTGGGGATGTAGCCCACACCTGGGCATGCGCCCTGGCCAGGAATCAGACCCTGACCTCCTAGTTCAGAGTTATCAATGCTCAACCATTGGACCATACCCGCTGGGCAAAAATCATCTTGTTTTAGGTTAAAACTTTTTTTTTTTTAAGATGAACTTTTTCCATATTAATTAGATTTTATATCTTTTGTGAACTGCTATTCATGTTCCTGATTTTCCTTTTGCAATATTATTTTTATTAGTTGAGTGATAAAATCTCTTAATAGTAACAATTATATATCTTAATTTTTCAAATACAGTGTGTTAAGTATAGTAAGAAAACATATAAACCACATGGTGGTTTTAATGTGGTTTATATGTTTATATGTTTTCTTACTAAATCAAAATTTTAATTACTATATTATCAAATAAAAATTTCCCCTTATAGTTTTATCTTTACTGATGAGACATTTTAATGTGTTTCACACATGACAGGAATTATATAATTACAAAAAAACGTAATGACAAAAGGCTACTGAAAGTCAGTCAAACTTTTAAAATAAGTTGATCATCATCATAAGAGTATCTTTATACATTTGAAAATTTAGAGAAAATACATAAAATAGGTATTTTGTTTAACCTAGAGAAAATAATGCACATATGGATTGAAAACCCCAGTGGGATTACATTGCTGTGGGCCACAGTAGTCTACCCTGAAGAATTTAAGGCAAGAAAGTGACATAATTAGATAAGAATTTCAGAAAGATCTCTGAAGTGGCTAGCTTCCAAAACTCTTGGATTTTTATAAAAAATAAAGTGATCAGGTTTTAATTTTTTGTCAATAAGGTTATTGAAAAAATTATTATTGTTACATGAAAGTATATTTTAAAACCAAGAATGAATATAATCTTGAAACAAAGCTAATAATTTTGAATTGAATAAATCTATCTTAATGAAAACTTTAATACTCTGACTTTAGTTTTCTCATTTTTTTTACCTCCAAGTATTACCTGTTAAAAATGTTGGTATTAGAGCCCTATCAGGGGGCTCTGTGGTTAGATCGCTGGCCTGCCAACTGAAGGGTCCTGATTTCAATTCCAGTCATGGGCACAATGCACCTCAGTTGCAGGCTCCATCTGCGATCCCAGTCTAGGAGTGTGCAGGAGGCAACCAATCAATGTCGCCTTTACATCAATATTTCTCTGTCTCTCCCCATCCCTTTCACTCTAAAAATCAATGAATATCCTCTCAAAAAGTATCCTCGGTGAGGATTAACAACAAAAAATTTTGGTATTAGCCCCGACCAGTTGGCTCAGTGGACAGAGCGTCGGTCTGTGGACTGATGGGTCTCAGGTTCCATTCCGGTCAAGGGCATGTACGTTGGTTGCAAATACATCTCCAGTAGGGAATGTGCAGGAGGCAGCTGATCTATGTTTCTCTCTCATCGATGTTTCTAACTCTCAATCCTTTTCCCTTACTCTCTGTAAAAAAATCAATGAAATATATTTTTTAAAAATTTTGGTATTAGATCCCTGGCCGGGTAGCTCAGTTGGTTAGTGTCATTCCCAAAAAGGTTGTGGGTTTAATATCTGATCAGGAATCAACCAATGATTGCATAAATAAGTGGAACAATAAATCAATGTTTCTCTTTTTCTCCTCCTGCCACCTTCCATTCTCTCCAAATCTTATTATTTTTATTTTTTATTTTGGTATTAGAGAAACATAGGTAAAGGAAATAGATAAATTATAGAAAAATAAAAATGTAGGCTAGGAGACTGGTTAAATTATCTACAGTTCTTACCCTAAAGTAAGCAAATGCAGTGAATGTAAAGTTTTAGATAAGTTCTTGGAGTTGTGGTCCAATCCACTCAAATGAACACTCAGTCTAGCCTAATTAGTTAATAGTTGTAATGTGTTTTTAACTCCAACTCCCTAATAAGCAGGAGACACTTCAAACACACACTGAAATCTATGAGTTTCTGAATTATAGAACTTCTCTGTATGTCCCCATCAACCCCCCAACATATGACTATAACAACTCTTGATAAATTGAGATATAGATAAATTGAGGTCTTCTTTATCAGCAGATAACTGGCAAAAAATGACAGCAATTGAAATTGAGTTTTGTTAAACAGGAACCAACATTTCATTGTAAAAGGAAAAGAAAGTGTTGAGTAGTTATTTAAAAGAACTAAAAATCGGCCG